TTCCCAGCGTAGCTGGCTAATGGGTCATGGAAAATGGTCACATGTGTTTTTTTCATCAAAGTCTCAAAACAATCCAAGATAATGTTCATGGGTATGGTTGATTTAATTTGCCTCTTATGTGTTGATTTTTATTGATAAGATATACAAGCCCTGCAAATAACTTTTGTTAGGGGATGAATGCATACATCTTACACATGCACTGATGTGATTCATTAGTGCTATTACAGCGTCTGAAGTTTGCGCTCTACAAAATGACTTGCTCTGCATGCTACAGATTCACCCAGTTCCCCATAAGGGAAGAGCAGAATGCTCAAGGTGAGCAAACAGCAAGAATACAAGCGCACCCCATTCCTCACTCACCCCAACACCATCACCCCCTCCGGATTACAGATCACATGCCCTGTCACACTGCAGTCATAGAAGGAGCCCAACAATAGGCTGAATTGAGGTACGTTCGGAGCGGATAAGTAACACTTTTGGACTTTTTTTGAGTGTCTAGCATTTCTCTGGCTGTAATTGAACAGCGATGCACAGTCACAAACACACACAAACACACACACTAAAAGGCAAGCTGGTTAAACATGATTGTTTATGCATAGCGCTGAGTTTCGACTCTCTCGGGGAAACCATTGTGTTGGCTCTGATATGTATAGCTTCACTTTAAAGAATCCCACCATCCTTCCTCTGAGCCGTACAAATACTCAGCTGGGCCTTAGCTTAGCTTCCACAGGAACTCCGCTGGGGTGCCTTGAAAAACAGTTATTCTTTGTGGTGTTCTCAAAGCCGAACTGGACTTCCTGACAAACAGTGGAGAGGCCTTTAGAAGTTTTAATTCATACTGGCTCTCCACCCGTGCTACTCAAAGCGAGAATAGTTAGAAAAGACATCAAGGGCGATGCATCTAGCAATCATCTCAATCCGTCTCACATGTAAAGGATGTGGGCAAAGATTTCAAGCAAAGAAATCCCAAAACACTTGGCTATTTCTCATACTAGTTGGCTTTCGCTGAGCCTGTGACCTGTGACCTCTCTCTGTGTGTGAGGCTAAAGAGAAAAGAGAAGGGAAAGTTGTCATCGTCGTCTTTTAAGACATGTAGGCATGTTTGTATGAAGCGGAAATTACATATTGTGAGCAGCTAGGAGTACTGATATGTGACAAAGAAAGACAATTCAACCGCTTTGGACTGAGCTCCACGTTGCATTCTTTGATCCAAAACAGAGTCTCTTCCTTAAATCCCAGACATGTCTCTCTGGGTGTTTTGGGGAGATAACAGCACAGCCTGCTTCTGTGAGACCAGACAGCTTGCAAAACATCCAGAGACGTGTTGATGAAATCGGAGTTAGTTCTTAAGTGTAACTGGAATGCAAGGTTCATGGGCGAGAAAGCTTGTTGCACGGCAACCCGCCTCCCCTACCGTCCGCTGGGGCCCTGAACTGACATATTTCCGCCCAGCTGTTTGGTTGCTCAGGGAGACTGATCTTGGGTCAGCAACGGGGCCGCAGGTCCTGTGGAGACGATTGGGGAAAGTCCGATCTGTGTTCAGTAGCTTGAGCGAATGGACTTCACAGAGAAACCCCTCCAAGAGTCACTGAGATGTATCTTGGTGGGGGTCGATCACAGGGCTGTCCCTCAGTGGAAAAACACAGTGAGTGGGAGTGGGGCCTCTCCCTGTTCTCCTGTTTTTATTCCAGAACTTCCCAGAGACCAAAGCGGTTCAGACCCAACACGTCAAGCCCCAATGAGAACCCCCAAGTCACGTTGTTGCAAACTCAAGACATGCTGCTCCTTCGTTTCATCGTTTTTATTCTTTGATGATTAAAATCATTGAGAACAAGCATCAAAAGTGTCCAGGCCATTAAAGTTGCACCACAATCTCCGTTAAATCCCCACATGTTGACCAGCACTCATTCCCAAACTTTTCCCTGGTTGTTTTATATTATTACATTACATTACATTACATGTCATTTAGCTGACGCTTTTATCCAAAGCGACGTACAATAAGTGCATTCAACCATAGGGTACAAACTCAGGAGAACAAGAAACAAGAAAGTGCAATTTCCTCAAATAAGCCAATTTACAATTTGCTATAGATGAGTGACGTTACAAGTACAATTTAAGTGCTACAATTTGTTAGTCTTTAGTCGAGGTAGAGTCTGAAGAGGTGTGTCTTTAGTTTGCGGCGGAAGATGTGAAGGCTCTCTGCGGTCCTGGTGTCTTCAGAGAGCTCGTTCCACCATATCAGTCCACTGCTTCTTAATGCATGGAGTGAGTTGAATGAAGGGGGGCTGTCATGTACGTATGTGTATTTATGTAATACATTTTAAGTTTAAGTCATATTAGGCAGAGAAATTCTCTGTCCGAGGTGGAAAGACATCCTTGAGTTTGTTCCTCGCTTTCCTGGTTGTTTATATTTCCCGTTATATTCAGTTAGAAAATCCCAAATGTGGTTGTTTGCATTGCAGATTAGTTTGTTGTGACTGAACATTTACAGCCTCAGACGCTGTGGTCCTTCGTGGTCTCGCTTTATTATTAATGTTCCAGCTGAGCATCCCTGAATTAAAGAATGAGTGAATGAGTTTGGCCATGAAAGCAGTTCCTCCACCAGCAAACGAATGAATAAAAACTATATCAGGCGTGTATTTGGAATGTGTATTGCATCATAAGGGAATGTGCAATTATTTTTGAAAAATCTTGTTTTCTTCCCACATCAATTAATACAATGTGATGTGAATACAATACAGATACACACAGTGCTGGATTCGTTTTGACAGGATTGCCTCACATTCACGTTCATCATCAACTTCAAGTTGACCCCCCCCCGGTCTTTGTGTGCACGTGCCTGACGGGGTGTAAGTTCAGGACAAGCAGGGGACAAGTGAAGGAAGGGTGTCGGCGCCGCGAGTACAGCTTTCCAGATGCTTTGCAGAGGATGTGATTTAATTATTCCAGAGTACAAGACAATCTTTCTTAACAAAAAAACAACCCCCCTGTCAACAAGATACCTTTGTCTTTATAGCACGAGAACACACACTCTTCCTCACAGACAGACACACACACACACACACACACACACACACACAAATGCATGTAGACAAGTGCAGTAAGGTGGTAACACCACATTGTGCGGAGATTTTCCTCCGTCTGCCAGTCGACTCTCAGCAGGCTTCTCACTATCATCGTCCTTCCTAAACACTTTTCCTAATTTTCCCTCTGCTGATGTGAGGTTTGCCGCCGTGAAGTTCAGAGCGTTCCTTTCAAGTGGAATTCCTCCCTTTCCGTCCTGTTTGGCAAGAAGCTAACAGCGTATTATTTTGCATGTACAGGAAGAATCTCTTTCTCCTGCCCACTGATAATGTTTATGGTGGTTTATGGTGGTATGTTTGGGTTGCATCCAACTGCTGTCTATTAAAATCTTGAAGTGGCACTGTAGCACTCGTGGAACATTGCTTACATAGCGTCCACTTTCCATTAATGAAGAAACCTCGAAGACAATCAAATCAAGATGGGAGATAAAACAGGGAGGTGGAGATCTTCCTCATCCCCGCAGTTATCCAAACAAAGTGGTGGAGACGCCTGTGGATCGTGAGCGCTGCACCTGTAAGTCAATCTATAGCAGATGTGATCTCTTCACTCCGGCTGTGAGAAAATGATCATGCTTTTAGAGTATTATTATAATGTGCATACGGAATATCTGGAACAGAATGTAGACAAGAGATAAAAGCAATCGATTGACAAATTGAATTCAGGTGATCTAGTAATTGATAAAACATAGTTTTGTGCTCTGAATGCTTTAACAGTCAAAGTATGAACTATGTCAACCACCATGTTTTTACTCTCCCCTTTTTACTGGTGTAAAGTAATATCCACGTTGCCACAAATTCAAATATATATTTGAGATGGTTCATGAGAATTGTCTTATCGCTTCGTGCTTTTGCGGCGGAGCATTTTCCTCATTGACCACAAAGGCAGAATCCTATTTTGGTATTTTTGGATTAACCCTGTTGCTTCTTCCCAAGTAAAATCAAAAAGCAGCTTTGCTGGATAATTTGATGGACCAAAAACCCCTCCACCACTTCCTGGGACCAGATGTTAAGAGTCAGTTGTGATTTCATGAAACACATCTCAATATAGAACACTGTGCACAATAAGGACAGTTAGAACTAGTTTTCCTTTAGGAAAGGACAGCAAACATGAGCTGGGATATTACTCTTCCTTTGAGGCTTTTAAACTATAGTGCTGCAGTTTATTTTGCTGAAGTTTCAGGTACAAAACAGCCTTTAGCTGCAGGAAGTGAATCAAAAACAGAACCAAAGGAAAACTTTTACTCTACTCCCTTGACCTTTACTTGCAGTCCACTGCGATGTAGTAATCCACTTGGCACCTCACCAAAGTACAGTGTACCTTCCTCAAATACTCTCAGTACTATTGTCCCAACAGAAAGGAACAAGCGCGTTGACCCCCATTGCCACCTGTTTTGGCCATTAGGTCCAATCAGTACCACCATCCCTTTTCCTGTCGTGGGAAAGCCTCAGCTCTGGAACAAATCCCCCCCAGCCATACTTACCCAGTGGCCATCACCACAGAGGACCCATAACTAGTTTTAATTCCCACATGTAACGTTTGACCGCCAGAGGAGACTCATTTCCCCACTGACTCCTCTGTATGACACCCTCAATACGGCCAAGAGTTCAGGAGTCACCATCAAAACACATCAGGAAATCTCACTTTTACTTGTTTACCGTCAGAGGAAAGGAGTTAGGATCATTTTATGTCACCAAACTGAAATGAGGAGATTGTACATGCAAATTTAGTAGAAAATCGTTTATTACAAGAATGAATTATATCCAGGAACCAGCATGTCGGATTAGTTGGCATGTTCCCATTGGAGCACTTTCTGTGCAGCATTCCTCAGCAGGCAGCCACGAGTGGAATGCTTTCAACAACGCCGTAATTGAAGTGGATTCAACAAGCCAAAATTAAAATAAAATCCCAACGCAGACGGTTTTGACAAATTTTTAAGTGTTTATTCAAATCACAACAATTCAAATGTGTCATGTTGGAGAACAAATTGGATTTCGGCAACAGTGAAGATAAAGAAAAAGAGCAGGCCATATCTTTTCGTTTTAACGCTCATTGAACTGAGCCCCGTCATCCGGCAGTGCATCCGTCGAGTGGGCCGGAGGGGTCCATCACGCCTCCTTCACGTACGTCCTCACTGCGATCACGTCCCCCATAATGCATTTCTGTGGAGAGAGCGAGAGAGCAATCAGGTGCAGTCGAGAAGGAGGCTTAGTAGCAAAGAGGGGAAGCTGAATGTTGAGTTCATGGAAAGCAGTTAAATTCTTTTTTTAAGTCCATGTCACAACTTGTCAACTGTTTAATATGTGATTACCAACAGACCTCTTTAAGTCATGGCAACAACGGGACTCAATAGTATTGAATCGTCCCAGTGCATTTCAGATTTGTTTTAATTAATACAAACATCAATCATTTTTGCAGCAAGAGACACGTTTTACTTTATTCTGAAATGTTTTAGGCACGGAAGTGAAAATATTTCATATTCATTAACAGAACATGATGCACCGGTGGCGTTTTACAAGAGAAATGAAAGGACGCGTGTGGGTTATGAAGCACCCTTACATTAAAAATAATACTTACCAAAAAAGTAAAATTTAATCCTTACCGCTATTAATTTGCCGTCCGTGATCTCCCTCTCGATATTAGTCTCTTTGCCATCCCAGCTCTGTTTCTGCACAAGCTTTCCGCCCTCCAGAGACACCACGGTCTGCAGGCCACACGGAGACAAAGCCGTTAACTCAACGCACGGAACATAAGAACAAAACGCCGGTCATTGGTGTCGCTTTGCCCGGGGAGCGCAGAGCAAACTGACCGTCGTCTTCCGGTCGTCTGCGGTCGTCTCCTCGAACGGCACGTTGAGCTTGAACCTTATTTCAGTGGTTTTGAAGGTGCTCTGAGACTTGAGGCAGACGACCCCGTCGTCTTCCACGGTCACTATCAGATTGGGCTTGGTCCGATTCCCCACCTGGCGGGTCGCAAACCCCACACCTGCAAAACGCATCACACAAATTTACGCTTAGTCAAAAAGAAAAAAAGTGCAACAGGCACATTTGACAATATAGACAATCGTTTGCGCAATTAGACTTGAAATAAAAGTCGTTTCACTTCACAATTAAGACACAACTGCAGTCTGACAGTAGCTCAACGAGCTTAAATCCACACACTCTCCTACCAATTGCTTTCATGTAGTCATCAAAGTTCTCGCTGGCGATCATCTTCCACGTCCCGACAAATTTCTCGACCATGTTTGCGGTGTTCTGATGCGCAATCCCGGGCAACAAGCAGCGGAGTGACTCTGGGTTCGACTCTCCTCCAGAGGGGGAAGAGACTCGTCTTTAAAGGGCCACGCCGGGAGCGCGCGCGACCAGCGAACGCGGTGGGAGCCAATCACAGCCCGCCACGTCACGTAATTGAGCGTTTATCACCCGCCTCCTATCAATCACTTTGGGGCGAAAGGATGTGTAACTAATAAGCGCATAAAAATGTGACACATCAGTGTTTGTTTTTATGTTTCTATTCCGAGATTCACTCATTCCTCTGCGTCTTAATATCTCATCATAATTAGTCATATTTAATTTAAGTATTTAATAGTGATTTGTATGATTTATTCTTTAAGCATGCAAAAGCAGTGACGAATCTATAGAGCATCAGCAAATTCTGCCTACTAATTAAGCTACAAATTACAAAATTTAACAGAGAGTGACAGATTAGGTGGTGGAACTAATTTGACTCATTTGGTATCTATAAGAACATATTAGTTATAGTCTTAGAATATTACAGGTAAACTCCAGTAGGCACTGCTGGAAATACATTCGTATTGTGAAAACCCTGAATGTAACATTAATGCATCCTTGTTGAAAACCCTGAAAGTTGCCGATGCTAATAGGACAGAGAGCAGCTAGCAGAGGGGACATGATTTCAGTTATCTGTGCTGGGTGAAAGGGGGAGTGTGGGGGGGGCATCTAAAACTGTGCCAAACTACATTTAAGCCTGCTGTGTCAAAGGTTGGAGCTTGCATAACGTTCTCTGAAACGCTGGAATGATCTCTTTTATCAGGGAAATGGCACATTATGCAAGGTCACACCACGACTGTAGCACGTTCTTTTAGCAGTTAAAGCATTTCAATTGATGCATTTAATATGAACAAAGTAAGCATAGCTGATTGGACTAATGTGGGTCCATTTTTCCCCTGAACCAGACCCTGCAGTGCCTTTTCAATTTGACGCTGACGTTCACGTTGCTAGCAATGGACATCTGTCAGGATTTGATCCTTCGCTGGTGGACGGGTGTGGATCATGTGACTCAGGAGGAAGAGGAGCAAAGTCAGTGTCGCGTCTGTCTGAATCATTTCACAGCACAGTAAATGCACATTAGCTCCAGTGAAAGGTCAAGCTACATTTAAATTAATTACTTTAATAAAGAAAACACCAAATATACACAGCTAAATACAAATTCATTCTGCACAGATTTGAGAGGAGGATCATTTCTTTGCTGCAACTTTTGCCTGCAGGTCCTTGGCCGCACACACTGACTCAAAAGCATTCAGCATCTCGCCGCCCGTCAACTTGGCTCCTTTCAACACCAGCCTGTCTCCGTCTACTGTGGGAGGGAAAGACGAGGACACAATGAGATGACTCACAATGACCCTTATCTCTGTATAAGGAGCAGAGAAGGCAAAAAAAGGTCAAAAGGGAACTCTGAGCAGAAGTCAAGTAGCACACAACGGGCTTCATCTGGACAACGTTTCAACGAGTGACACGTGCTTGATTCTTTGTGCTGCGAGTAATCAGGCAGTGACATCGTCAGCAGGAAACGTCAAGACCAGATCCCGCAATTCTGAGCAACCTTTTCCTGTCTGAACAGCCAGGAACACACAGTGAAGTGATCAACAAAAACTAAATCTCAAGGGACCTTTTTAAAAGAGCATGTGGAACTACAGCAATTACTTCAGCACTGGCTTAAGTGACTTTATGACTGAGGACATTGATGACCAAAGGTAATTTAGGTGTTAAGACGCTTTATGACCCTTTAGTTTGGTTACCCATCTCTTTTCAACTTGGTCGCTCTATAGGCTACAAAGTACGTCAATCAGAATCAGCTTTTTTCAGAATGGCCATGTATGCTTACGCCTGGAATTTGACTCCAGTCACATGTGCTCTCTACAACAAAAACAAAGTGTATACACAATAACAATAACATCTACTTGTTTCACAGCTACAGTCTCTTTGATAAATACTAAGCTGAATGAAACTTCTTGATTGGTGAAATTAAGTCATAAAAAACTCAAACAACATAAAAAAAGAGCCACCATGTGACAGTTGATGTCTCTACATGTCTTGAGTGGTTAAATGTCAGGGACCTGTGGGGCAAATGCAAAAACTAAAGCAAACAATCACCCTGCTTCATAAAGTCCCACGGTTAGACATCTTGTCCCACATATTAGAATGTGGTCAGATGACACTTACAGTAAGTAACATCCACCAGGGGTTCAGACCTGTCGTGTTTCACCGTCGCGATCACCTCACAGTTCATGTTGGTAGCTCTGGCCTTCTCCGAGCCCACCATGGTCAGAAACTCCCTGTGGGGCGAGAGGAGCAGATGGGTCGCAGTGACGGAGAGTCAACTCAATTATACATCTCCATCACCTGCTACTGTGCAATCAAGTATTTGACAATTTGGTATTCCCACATTTACTGAATTAACTTCAGCCCCCCGATAGGAGACACAATCATGATTGACCAAACCCGGGTGTTTCCACTTATTTAGCCTGACTAGTGTCCAGACTGTGCTTCTATTTTGTATTTACAGCTTTTAATTTAAGTTTGGTCAGGAACGTAATTAATTTAAATACGCACACCATATGTTCACCTCATATGTAATGGGATTAGCCAGAATAAATACAAAATAAATAAATAAACCATTTGTGAATGGGCAGCGTCTCGAAAGTATAGTGTTAAAAACGCTCTAACTTCAGCCCAAACGTACAAGAAACGCTGCAACTATATAGTTCAGTATGGTTATATGGTTGGTTATTTGGGTAAATACTAAAAGAGTTGAAAGGAAAGCGTATATCGGGTATATTAATAATACTGTAGGAAATCCTCAGTCTTTACATCCACATAGGTTACCGTTTCTTCACTCATCACGGTTCAATGAAAACGTCTGTAAACGTGTTATTTTGCTCGACAGGGTTCGGAATCCAGGTTGTGACGATCTTTTAACAAATATATTTTCTTTAATGTTTTTCTTCAAACGTGGAAGTGATGTATATAGATGATTGTTATACAATCGTGATCGGTGCAGTGGATAGGTGATGCATTTTGAACATTTACAGCAATGTGTTTGCGAATGTGTGACGAATCAGGTGAGGGGGGAAACAAACCAGTAGGGACGTAACTCCGGTCACCGCGTCGTCAAAATACTCATTTTTCAGACAGAAAAGTCACACAAAAAGGACACAGCGGACACAGCGGCGCTTTTACACACACGCGTCTTACCTTGTGGACCGAACATTAGACTCAAACGGACAAAACTGAATCGCTATTTTCTTCACAGCCTTTAAGACGACGGTCACTTTGCTTGAAGCCGCCATGTTTTCTGATTTGACCTCTAACCCCGGCGGAGACTTTCCCACGCGGGCCAGTAGAGGGCGCGAGCGGATAACTAAACGAACCAGTGTGACGCAGTCGTCGTGCAAATTAATAAACAATAAGGTATAAAATGTCACAAATAAACACCTTCACCTATAAATGAACAGTGGATTCACCCACACCTGATAAATGTAGGACAGCATGGTGATATTGATTAATATTTTATGCCTCTTCATCAATACAAGTTGTCTATTTTATTTTTCTCTGCTACACGGATTTATATTTCGACCCCCTTAGTTGAAAAACGTGACATTTGATTTGCATCTTGCATTTGCTCTTTGAGAGTTCGAGCATTAATATGTATGATGTATTCAAATGTGTGGTTGGCAATGCTGCACATCTCATGTGTAAATATAATGTGCCAAGAAACAAACAGCGGTTCAGTCACTGGGCATCAAACTGTTACTGGGTTTCTGCAGGTGTCAATGATGTACAACCTATCCCTCATCTCTCCTATAATGCCAGGTGCCTATTTAACCCCACCGCAATTGTTAATGATTGCCACTATAAATATCAGTGGCATGTATACATGACCTTCTTGTTCACGTCAACATGACAAATCTCATTCTCAAACTCACAGGGAAAGCGAGTGCGGCACCGTCCTGTAATCAAATGACAAACGGTGTCACAGGGCAGAACTATGTTCCGAGAGGACAGTGGGGGGAGGAGGAGGGGGGGGGGGGGTCAATAAAGCTCTCCAAATAGACAATCAAACAGACACATCTCCTAATCAAATAGACAGGGAGGATGGGAAATGGTCTCCAGCTACTGCGGTTTCCTGCACTCAGCAGATGAAAAAAGGTCAAAAGCCCGTCAGGGAAGAAAAACCTGTCAGAAAGGGAAATGCATTTAAATTTTGATCGCGTTAGCACTAAAGTTAAATTTAATCATGGCATGAATTGCCAAGTGTGTGTAAAGCAGTGCAGAGTGGGTGTTTATATCTTTGCCATATTTGGTTAGCGTCGATAAATCCAAACAAAAATTCAGTAAATATTCTTTGGACTTATCGTTTTTCTGAGTATTATAGAAATAGGAGGAGAACACTGCATATCTGTCTGCTCGTTTTTTCACATTTGCATTTGCACTTCCTCCACATCTGTTCAGTCCTGCTGCTGTGTACTCACAGCCGGTCTGTTTTCAGGGGCGTGAGTATAACAAATATTCTATTCTCAGATCAGCCCAAACTTAATACTAACTTCAACACGCCTCGAGTGCCTTTCCTGAGCGATAGCCTGTGACAGTTGGACAGTGACTCTGGGCTCTAAATTTAGACGTACGGCTGCTGAGAGGGAGAAGCATTTCCTATACATTCCCCACGCCCATATCAACATGCGCACACCACACAGACACTCATTAAGTTGCACTGTTTGTCCGGCCATAAGAAAGTGGGGGAGAAACAATGAATGCTCGAGAGGATGTTTGACCTAAAAGAAAAGAGGTATTGTGCTGGTGCAGGATTTCATCCCTCAAGTCCTCCGTCTGAGTGTAATAATAACTCATGAACTGTACATTTCGTTGTGAAATGATCTCATACAGCGAGGCATGTTCCGCTTTTTGTCTATTTTAAAACTGCTAAAGCTGATACGCTATTTCAATAGGTCACAGTTAGTTAAGGGTATACGATCCCCTATTTACGCTTTAGTTTAATACAAATCTGTGAGAATAGCAGCTGAGACATTTGGAACTGATTTTTGGAGAATGAATTGAAAAAGATTGTGTCAACGCTGGTTTAGAGGCATTTGACCCTGAAGACTAATGATGAGCGAGCAAGTAGCAAGTAGCACTTTGGTTGTATTGTATTCACTACAACAGTCACGTTCTGCGTCCATGAGGTCAGATGCTCAGATGTCCAGGGGTCAACCGAACAGTATGGTTCTTTCTACACATGAAATATAACTAAACACTCCAAAAATAATGGAAAATAGTGAGAAAAAAAATATGTATATAGTTCTCAAAACTTCTTGTGGGAAAGTCGTGAGTATTAAAATCATTGTTGTATTCTGAGAACGCTTTATGTTACCATGGAGATTATTTAATCAAAGAAATGTCGGCTCGTAAACGCGGAGCCTTGTAGGCTTCACCAACCGGGAACTGCATTTCCCACAAAGCAGTTCGCCGCAGCAGCTCTCTCTCTCTCTCTCTCTCTCTCTCTCTCTCTCTCTCTCTCTCCCTCTCTCTCTCTCTCTCTCTCTCTCTCTCTCTCTCTCTCTCTCTCTCTCTCTCTCTCCCTCTCTCTCTCTCTCTCTCTCTCTCTCTCTCTCTCTCTCTCTCTCTCTCTCTCTCTCTCTCTCTCTCTCTCTCCCTCTCTCTCTCTCTCCTCCCACCAGCGTCCTGCTGCCGGTCGGAGCTCTCGCAGCGGCTCAGACCCAAACGAGCGGCTCCGTGTCACGTCCAGAAAATGTGCGCAGGGTGAAGAGCGTGCGTGCGTGTGAGCGTGAACACCCTCATAGGACACCGCCTGTCTGGCGTCTCCAATAATAATAATGTCGCGCCGGAGCCTTTAGACGAAGGGTACACGCGCACTAAACAAGCCCACCACTTTCCGTCCAACCAGCCTCTTTTTTCGGACAGACCTCCTCTCTTTTCTCCGGTAAGAGCTCGCACACTTCCTTTGTTTAAACTTGTGTTCTTTGTGGTTGCTACTGTTTCACATCGCTGCTGGAAGCGTGTGCAATGCGTGCGCGTCGGGAAACTTGGGCGAGCGCGCTGTGTACTTGTGACCGCGGAGAAGCGCCGGAGAGGAGACTTGTTGCCTCTCACACCGAAGCGCGTGTCCGCCACCGGAGCAGCGCGCGCGGATGCTGATGCTGCGGCCGCCTCTGCGGACTTCGGTCGGTCTTTTTGGTCCAATAGGCTCGAGGTTTGTGTGGCGTCTGGTCCACATTGCGGGCTCCTCGGCTGCTGCAGTATTTTAATGTTTGCCCAATTTATTGTTTGCAATTATATGGCAATATGGCGCCAAGTGCATTAGCACAACATGGCTTTAGGTGCTTTCTTTCATAGCAGTGAACATGAATGTTCTTATAAAATCAATGGACTTGTATTGTGTCTATATCGAGCTGTATGATCTGCATCCAAAGCAGGTTCAAACCGCAGGTTTAGGCTTCCTTCCTCTTTCCTCAAGCTGTTTTTTATTGCATGACTCAACAACATTTGTGGGGAACTATTTCATTTTCACACTGACAAGTACACAGCCTCTCCTTCCACGAAACAAACACGCCTATGTGATGTGATGATGTGATGACACACACTTCTTCTTCTGTAACTGTAAATTTGAATTTCCTCTCAACCCCCCCCACCCCTCCCCATTGGTTGTTGCATCCACCCTGCAGCAGACTGGCTGACACAGAAGTTGACATTCGCTTCAGCAAACACAATTTTCACTTTGTTTCAGCTTTTCCCTTTGCTTTCGCTTCACTTCCTCGTGTTTCACGCTAAACATTAATGCACTCTGTCATTCACTGACATCTCCGTACAGCAACGCGGTGAATAAACAACCGCCGCTTTGGATCCTGCACCCGTGCCAAAGATGAGCGTTGAGTTCTTCAAACACCCCTCTGTGTTTTAAGTCCAACGTGGAGGCAGAATGGACTCTGTGATGCTCAGCGCCCGTCCGTCTCTGCTTGCTTTGTGCCATTCCATTGCTGGCAGCCTTTTGCAGCCCATGACGCACGCACGGCCCAAAAAAAATGTCCGTGCACGAGTAAATCTCTGTCACTCGCAGAGCAGTTGACTGTGTAAGAGGACAGCAGCACGGCAGATGCTCTGTGACTTTAGCCCGCGTAGTCATGGCGTGCTGGTGACGCTGGTATTTGGATGGAGACCAGGCTGGGAATGTGCAGCTGTTGTACCAAAGAAGGGGAGGCGAGTGAGCAGCAACGGGGGAACTGCACCGAACTGCACCGGTTCAAGTCAGAGGAGAGCGGCGCTGCTGATATTGGGCTGAACTGAGAAGATGTTGTGGTTAATTATTTTAAATTACATGCATTTGAAAACCCAGAGGCCAGGTATATACATCCGTATGGTTGTGACTGCAACAGTTGGACATTGCATTTCCAAATTTGCAATCAGGAGGAATTTTTTGGGCGTCTCAAGCTAATAACCATCGCCCGTCTTCTCAGTGAGATTACAGGTGTGGGAGCGCAGCACTGTTCCCTTTAAGTCTTTTCTCAGGTGCATTTGAGCCGGCCTGTTCATTTCTTGAGGTAGGCTTTGAGTCACGGCACCTTGATGTTTATCCATTGCCCGTTCCCTATTCAGCGGGGCCTGAACACCTGAACAGCTGTAATTCTTTCCCCCCATGAACTGGTCCTCATTAAGGACCCAGCGATGCTGCTACGGGGAACCCAGCGATCCTGAGGAGGATCGACCTCTCGTCTCACCGCTGTGAAAGTAGTGGTTTCATCACGGGCTGTCAAGGCTCCACACGTTTCACACTCTCATAAGCAACAATCCCAGCGTGATGTGTAGGAAGGTGTGTGTGTGTGTGTGTATAGTATTAAGCGCTGTTGCGTGTTCATGTCGGATAGCGTTTCTTCTTCCATTGATGTGGAATGAAGCAAAACAGAGGAGCCGCATGTAATTATTTCCCCTTTCAGATGGAGCTGCTGCTGCTGCGCTCGCCCTGCCGGGATTTGATTTCGTGGCTCTAAACCACTAAACACGACTGAAGAGGTCGGCGCGTTACATTTTCATTAGGAAAAGTTCCTTTCCTGACACGACTCGGCCCAAAGCTGTTTGTGCCTTTCGCCCTCGCACGTGGAGAGGAAGGAGCTGACATGAACTTAATAATAACGGTAGATGCGTGAGGCCGTACGGGTCGGGGCGACAGCGGCGTCGGTGTCCCTTCGCTTGTCTAGAGGGTTCCGTATTATCTATTGGAGGGTTCTGTCAGCGAGCGGAGCAGTGAGAAAAAGAGAAGCTATTAGATGAGAAAACACATGAGAGTCCTAATAATAAAAAGGATGTATTGATCTCCAGTACATCAGTTGTGTTATCGCCGGTGCTGCGCCCGGCAGGATTGATTTTGCATTTGTTCTGCACAGCGTAAAGGGCACTTGTTGTGCTTTTTGAGGGAGTTATTACAGCACCCAAAGTGTCTCCGCTTCGCCAGTATACGCAAATCTTCCAAAGACTTGACAAAGTCTACTTCGCCGCGTTGAGCTCACAAATGCTCAAATTCCGACAGCAAAAGAAGCCCATATTGAAAAAGATAGCTGACAAATACTCTCCCCCCTTCCCCCTCTCCTCCCCCACACCTCAGTAAGATGAGGAAATGCTTGTTTATTCAATGTTCAGCTTAGCTAAACCGTTAAAATTACACTAGTTAATTAATGATGGATCCAATGATGGTTCCTTTTTTGAGAAAAGATACATCATCCAGTGTTGGAGTTTGGAGTAAAGATAAATCTTATTAACTTTCTTCAGTTAATAAATTGGACGTGATCCAGTTTTGTGGGAGATTGTCTGATCCATGACATGTTTTAACAAACTTTGCATTTTTTCTACCTCTATGTTATTTAAACATGTTTCACTTTCAATAAGGAACGGCGACACCTCTGAGATAAGAAACGGCTGACCTCATACCGAACGGAGGAGTGCCAAAATAATTTGTGTGTGTGTGAGAGCACTGCGTCACACGCGGACTTGTTTGTCTAATCCTGTGAGATTGTTTTTCGGATTTAAAAAGACTAATATGTCAACTATTTGGGCCGTGGAACGTGGTTTGTAGGCCTGACCCAACCTCACCCGACCTCACCCGACCTGAGATTGCATCGGGGAAGCTCTGTTGGGAAATGAAAGTTCCTCTTCCCAGGATTGCTGGTAGCACGAGTTGTTGTGTATTCACCCGCCAGCGAGAAGACAGGGCCGTGGAATTCAAAAAATGACGCTTGTTCTGGTGTCTCTGCCTTCTGATGTAAGAGGAGATTAAAGCTCCCCTCAGACTCGGGAGATGAATCTCGGCACATAAAGCGAGACGGTTGCTCCTCTGAGTTTGAAATTGTTCCCTCGAACTACATCAGGTATGATCTTTCATGCTTAAATGAATAGTTCTCTGCAGAACATGTTCAACTATCTGCATTCATGCTGGTGAGTTAGATGAGAAGATTCATGCCTCTCGACACTTAGCCTAGCGTAGCTTAGCATAGAGACGGCAAGTGGGAGGAAACATGAAGCCCGTCTCCCGTCTGAAGGTTAGTTGTACCAACGCAAAGAAACCTGAGCAGCTCCAGACTGTCGCTTCGGTTTGGCCGTACATGGTGTCATCACGAGAGCCAACGGGCGAACTTCTCAGGAAAAGCGTTTCGCGTCGCCCACCCGTCTCTATTCTCGTGCTGCAGGGCCTGTTCACCTCTTATCACGGGTTCTCATTGTTGCCTCTTGTTCTTCAAGTCAAATGGAGTGATGCCAAGTGCCGGGAGGGGGCAAGCAGCCACATCCTGTGTGAGACGGGTGGTCCCCCCCTCCCCTCCCCCCCCGATAAACACAACAAATGACACTCGTCCGAACGAGCCGTAAACTTGAGGCGGCCGAATGTCGGGCGGCGTGTGGAGGGGTGAGACGAGGCGATGGACTGTGGACACATGGCTGAGTGAACACAGTGTGCACAGAAAGTCCCTTCTTCTTTGGTGTAAAGTGCTGCTGATGCAGCAGACCGACACACACACACACACACACACACACACACAGTCACACACACTGCAGGGATGCTATAATGTCACCCATGAGGAGGATTGTCACCTCACACACTCTGCTGGCTCACACACTCGCACACACACACACACACACACACACACGTACGCACAAATCCCTTTTCTCTGGCTACCTCTCTGCTGGACTCACCTGTGCGTCCCTCTGATTACACAAGCAAGCCGTTGTCCTTGTCCGCATGTCTTCTGCTCCTTTCGTCCCCAAAGAAAAAAGCCATTTAGTGAAAACGTTGAGCAAGAAGTCCCTTCTTCTTGTCTTCTTGTTTTTCGGGTATTTCTTCTTTCATGAAAGAAGAAATGCTAATAAGGTCATTGTGTGTTTACGGGGTGAAGTGTCAGACATCATGCGTTTGGCGACAAATAGAATATCTGTTCATGGACAGTTTATTAACTGGAGCCGAATGAGGGTCATTGGGGACACGAGGAAAAGACAAAGAGGCGATTGTTGGTTTGCCTTCTGACGTCTTTTGTGTGTGTGTGTAGTTAGCATTCAACATGCACGCAGTAAAGTGCATGTGTGTGTGTGTGTGTTTCATGCACCCAGTGGCTGGACGTCTGGGTGCACGTATCAGGTGGTGGTGTGGGGAGCTTTGTGCTTGTCTCCGTCTCTGTGCAGACGAAGGAATGTGACGACCATCCATCACCAGCGAGCTCGGCCCGGCTCACACCGCCTTACGCCGTCTCTCCATCTGTCCGCGCCGGACATTTCCAAACTCACTTTGTCCCTTTGGGCCTATTCTATACATTTACTTTCCTCCACTCTGACCGCCTGTCAGCATGTCTCACTTATTCACACTTCCCCTCCGTTTGTCGCCTTTCAATTCCTCTTTTGTTCATCCATCGCCCATCTCTCCTCCAGCCTTTCCCCTTGTACTTTCTT